GGGGGGTGGGTGTTCCTTTTCACATTGTTATATATGGATGTGTTATTACTATATACAACATTTTATTGATGATATTATATTAATTATAATTAAAGTATAAATTAAGGAACATTTTCATGTATAAGTGATAGAGCAGACTGTGCAAGGTGGAACTTGCCCAATATTGTAAACCGGACTTTCACCAATGTTATTTACACCAGCAGTAAGTCAACTTCTTTTGAACTGGAAGACAGAGAAAACTGTTGATACTTTCGCTTTCAAAGCTATTATTCTTAGACCGCTGACAAACATCTGCTAAAGTTCGAGTGAGGCAAGATCCAGAGGACATACGTGTTGAAAACAGTAGAAGGTTCTAAAGACTTCATATCTGTAGCAATAAGTGAAACTTACGGAAAGTCATGTCCTGACTGACACATATAAATACGGCAGCCAGAACACCCCACCCCAACTCTCTGATCTCGAGGAGACCTGTGTCCATGCGTGGAGCAGCATTATCTGTGATCAGGAGTCGGCCGCTGCCATTACTCAGGCAGATTTGTTGGCAAACTTGTTCATTGCCTTGCTAGTGCATATTTATATTATACAATAAATACCTTAGCCACCACAACTGCAGTCATCAGAGTACCCGGCATTGACTCCCAAGGGAACCGCTCGCCCTGCCAACCTGTTCCACTACTGGATACTACATTGATCCCAACAACATATTTCAAACTGTGCACATATGTTGATAAAGACGGACCCAGTTTACCTGTCAGGTAAGAAAAGTTCCTGCACCAATATCTGTATACAGTTTGAAATCTGGACCGAAGTATATGTTCTGTTTGTGAAGTTCATTCTTGCTTGTTACAAACAGTTACTTTACTTTCATGTTTAATAAAGTACTGTCTTTTGATTTGTGTGTTCATTTTGCAACAAAAATTGTGAACTATGTGTTTGTACTATGGGTTCTGTAAATGAATCTGCCCATGACGAAGTGAGAATATTACTGCAAGGTGACTGGTTTAATATGTGCACTATAAGAAATATTATTGTAAATATTATAAAAATTTACTGCTGAATAAATCCAAGTGCCTAGCTCGTAGTATACAAAACACAAGATGCTAGAGTATTGATGAACATACAGTTTGTTAATGTTTCATATCTGTTTAATTTTCTCTGTTTATGACCGAGCATTTTTAGTTGATCTAAGCTTTATGAATACATTATTAGTAACTTCTTCGTGTGTACTTGGAACAGTTTTAATGCAGTATTATTAAATTGTAAATGTATAATAATCCAATTGCTCATGAAAGTTACAGTATCTACCTGAAAAGCTAAATTAATTGTATTTCTAATTCTTGTTCATTGTTATACAAACTTGGGAATGTTAAAATTGTTCACTAGATGCTTGGCATGTATGTGGATCTTTGTCTTGCTTTATAGGCAGTAAGGTGACTGGCTTCATATCCTTAGTAATTTTTGGAAGTGTATGTTCATATGGCATGGACTGTGAGCTATGCATGTAAAATTAACCTCACTCTATTTACCAATACTTTCTGTTGGTACTAAAAACATTTTTTTCTCCGCTCCCCGCACTTTTTTTGTTGTGGTCTTCCTTAAGGTGGGCTCAAGGTGCAAGATGCTTTCTGTTAAGTACTTAAGCATCACATCATGAAGGCATTTGGGAGGTAAAGATCCACACATATTCTTAAACTCTGCAATAGAGATCAGTAAGTGTCAGCTCCACATTCTGGCCACTTTACTCTCATTGCCCTGGGTAGTGCCCAGAGACAGTGTGGACACAAAGGTGATGAAGAGAAAAGTCCTGGCTGGGAATAAAACCTGATCTCGCAGCCTATAACCAGTCACTTTACTGGTTGACTGTATTCTGAGTAATGTGAATTTTTGCTTTCTCATCCTAAATGTTAATTTCTTCTAGTTTCCTTAATCTGATTGAATTGCTTTAGTTAAAATTACTTCCTTTATGTTGCAGCAGTAAAAGGAAGTTAATTAGCTAATCTTTGTGATGTTGCTTCCAGTCATGCTTATTTCATCTTTCCACTTCTAACAGGGCTACTTTCTTACTGCAAAACTTAAGAACTGTGGACCCCCACCTAAAAGAGCACCTTTCATCTGAATAATTTTTCACAACACAATATATGAAAAGATAGGAATGATGTTGCAGTCATCTTTTGAACCACTTCTTGGCTCATTCAGAAATCTATACAACTTCATGGCATAATGCTTAATTAAACAAAGGGACAACTTTATAGTCCAGCATGCACGGAATTAAGAACATTTAAAATGCACGGCTAGCGTGTTTTGAAAGTCTAATAGAGAAATGACAATGTACCATCATGGTTTTATGGACCAGGAAAGAAAATATAAATATCATTTGATTAGTATAATTACCTGAAATTTCTTATATAAATTCTTTTATGTAAATGTCCTCAGTGGGCCAGGTTTGTTTACATAAAAAACAGTGTAACCCCCCTCCCCATCATTTTTTTTCTCCTACCCAGTCTCTTAGGACTGTCTAGATATGGTATTGAAATTGGAATGAATAGTGTATGTTAACATAAGTGCTTTGTTTTAGTGTTGTAAAGGATGTTACAGCATGTAAAACAATTGACAGTGCATATTTTGTTATGTATTTAGTACTAGACATTCATTCTACTTTTTAATAATTTGTACACTATTAAAAGTTCTGACACTAATATTTCATTGTGGCATGAATATATCGGTAGACGCAGTTCATATGTGAAATCTGCATTCCAAGATCCTGGATATAATAAATCACTCTCTAATAACCTATTTATTTATGAGTGAGTAATTATTTGGTATAACCATATTGGCAGTAAATGCCTCTGAAAGTACTAAATGGAGAACTGGGTGGTACAAAAAAAAATTATATTTTTAAAAAAGTAAACAACTGCACGGATTTAAATGAAATCAAAATAAATTTCGAAAATTTGCATATAAAACATTTATTTTGTTCAACAGATACATTACATGGAAATGTATTTTTCATTCTGAATAAAAAATAGTCATTTTTAGAGTCATGCTGTCAGAATTTGAAAGTGTAAGTTGACACTATGGTTGAATTTGTTAGATTACCATATTTGTAACAAAGGTAAAAAGCTAGTTTACAAAATCTGGTGAGAGCTGTTTCAGTCTTGTAGTCACTGCAATGAAATCCTGAAAATATGTGGCCTCTTGAATCACAAGATAACATCTGATCAGCCATTACCCAAACTACAAGATGGGTTCAGAATAAACCAAGGACGTGGAGGACCCATACAGCACTGATTCTCATTAAAAAAAATAATTGCAAGTTAAATGCTTATTTTTATCATTCAAAATGTAAATATTATTTCCTTATAATGATTCAGCCAAACTAGTATATCTTTCTGTGAATGTACTTAAATATATCCTACACAGCTTATATGAGTTTCATTCAAATGTTCAGAGTCTTGGTATAGCCCTAAAGACCAAAATGAAGGTGGCTAAATGATGTACTGCAGGACATCAAAATTTTAAAAGTAACAGCTTGGTGAAAGGAGGCACAGGACAGGGATAGTTGGAAGGCTGTTATCAAGGAGGCCAAGGCTCATAAAGTGCTGTAGTGCTAGATAAGAAAAAGAAGGTATAGGTGTTAAGTTGTAATATCAGATTCAGAAGATAAAGTCTTAACAGTATTTCAGCATTATGAATATTCTTCCAATATATTAATGTAAGTGATAATATTAGACTATTTGAAATCAAACTGAAAGTTCCTTGTCTGAGGATGAAATAACATATACAAGAACTAAATATTAACGCTTTTAGCCATTTGGTAATTGCAGTATCATTTGGAACGTGTGTACTCATGATAACTTCATAATCAAATCATAGTGTACTGTCTGTTGATGATCACTGCAGTTTCTGATATTCATAAACACAATTAACTGAGAAAAGAGGATTGATAGATTCTAACATAACATTTCCGTAATAGTTAATTTAAGAATGCCCCAAGTTTTCTATCTAAAATAGTTTAAAAGAGGTAATATGATTTATTATTTGAATTTTAATTGCTATACTTAAAACTTAAAAAAACAAAGTAAACCATGTAAATAGAAAAAAAAATGGTGGGTGATCTGTAAATGTGGTTGATATAAATAACCGAAACTGTCTGCTGTTAACTTCAAGGAGTCTAATAAATGAGACAAACCAAAGGAGTTCTGTCTTCTGAGATTAATGCTATGTAATCTGTTGAAAGTCAACTGACATTTTATAGGAACATGCCGCCTCCATCTTCAGGGTCAGAGAATAAGTCAAGCAAGAAACGAGCCCATGGCTTATACTTTGACCCTAAAGATGGAGGCAACATGTTCCTCCAAAATGTCAGTTGCCTTTCAGTGGACTACATGGTGTTATATTCCAGAAGACAGAACTCTTCATGCCCACTGCTGTGAGAACCCCAGTTCCTATCAAACAGACCAACTTATGTTATAGGGTAGCTAAGATTCACATTTTTAAAAGTATTAGACTAAAGAAAATACTCCTCCTAGCACTGAATTTGTTTCACTTTACAGAAATGGAGAGGATAATGGGTGATATGCTACATGAATGCTTCAGAGTTTAATTCAACTTGTCACTCTTTTGTTCTCTTTGATGCACTAAGCTTCTAGGACCAGCTTATGGAATATCACTTGAAATTGCTCATGCGGTCTATAATATCAAGTTGAGTTCCAGTGTATTCCATTGCAGAGAAAAATGCCTGTTTCAGACAGGTCTGTTTATAGTCTTTTCACAATTTTGACAACTGAGCTGTTTTCCAGATCATCCTGCAAAATACTCAGTGGTCGTTTTTCTGAACAATTCCATGCTGAACTTGAAAAGCAGATTAGCTGAAGTATTTCATCCAGTGTTTTCAAGCCATTCCATCTTCATCTTTCTTATTGTCCAGTCGCTTCAACTGTGGAAAGATTAAATGCATCCATTATATTTTTCATACTCGACATTTTGGATGATCAAAATGGGCACCTATTTGAACTTCACATTTTACCTACATCTGTAATAAAATTAAAATTTGACGTATGTGAGAAATCATAATCTGCATAAATACAGAGTGATTCAGAAAGATGAACACAATTCCAATTGACTATATTTCCTGAACTGTATGTTGCATTTGAATTCTGTAAAGTACATTTGAAAGAGGATGTTACAAAGTTTCTAATACTACCGCTAGTGCCCTCCATCACTGGATCCTGGGCCGATCACGTGTATCAGAGGAGAACGTGGAGTGCATTCGAGTGAACTTTGAACGCAGCCCAATGAAGTCAACCCGTAGTGCTAGTAGAGAACTTGGACTATCGCAAACAACTGTGTGGCGTGTACCACCTCTTCCCACAAATTTGAATGACCTAAGAAACTGTATCACAGCTGCGGTGAACTCAGTGACGCAAGATATTTGTCATCGAGTGTAGGATGAATTCAGCTACCGTCTAGATNGGGGGGGCACATTGAACATCTATAAACTTCCATGTATGTATAATCAAGTGTAATTTACAGAATTCAAATGCAACATATAATTCAGGAAATATAGCCAATTGAAATTGTGTCCATCTTTCTGAATCACCCTGTAGAATGGTTGTCATATTACAGCAACATGGTGCATGGTCCAGCTGCTTGACAGTTCAGTTTTTCTGTATAATACTGTCTAGTCACCAGCCTTAATATTGGAACTTGAGAATACCCTATTCCTGGAAGATAGGGGTTAATATATTATTCATTAATTGGTTGTTTTGAGTGATGTATTTACTTTAGTTGCTGGATTCAGTTAAACAATTAACTGGATTAATATTTTCATACAGTCAGTTCCATGTTAGCAGGAGCAGGTTATTAATTCTTGTTGATAATATTATTAACAGGGAAGGTACTGTACTGATTGACTTTTGTAGCATAGTGGTAACTCTTTGTATCTCCTGCTTTGGTGTTCAGTAATTCTGTATCACAGACTGCAGGACTTCAATTTGGGTCTCAGAATAAATGGCAGCTAGTTCTCTACAATTCATGTGACTAACTGAAGTTTACATTTGCATGAGCTTCATTCTTCATGAATCAACTTTCTGATTCCATCTGGTTGCTGGGAGATGATATAATGAGGCAGATTCACAAGCATCAAGTCAGTAGCCAACTTCTTGATTTCATACTGGAGCTGTTTTAAGTGGAGATTTTTTTTTAACGATTTGTGTACCTCCCTCCTGCTCAAGCTATCACAGGACTAATATGAAATATTGTTACTGACTGATCACTAATGACTACTGGAAGAAGACACATTCCTTGACCACAAGACTTTCCTGATTATGTGTAAGTACTCGATGTTACAAAATGTTTCCACATAGTTACAATTTGAGTCAAAACATTTGCAAAGAATGTTTTTCAAAATGTAATGTTTCTGACTTGCTATGAATTTTCATTCCACTAGCTCAACACAATCTTTCAGCAGATGAAACACAGTGGTAGATATGAAGCTTCTTCACACCATCTCTCACTGCATAATTAGTACTTATGATCAGTGACATTCTCAAGTGAAGTAAATGTCGCTGCCATGAAAAGAAGTAGAATGAACTGTACAAACATCTGCAGGTTTTTAGTTTCAAAGGTTTTTATAGACAGAAATATGTGAAAATGGTTTATTCTTTTAAACATTCTGATTGCATTAGAATTGTCCAAGACAGCTGAGAGATCTGTTTCAAGAAACACAGATGGCAATTAATAGTCACCACGGGCTAGACATCCAGTTCTGGATGGCATGCATAAAAAGAACAATTAGAGTATTCTATACTAATACATCAAATTTTTAAAGACAGCATTCATATTCCACTTTTATGCCACACATTTTATAATGTAATAATTATCATGTATCCAGTTTTACCACTACTGTAGTTCAGGGGTGGGAATTTCTTAATCATGTATTTGCCTGATGATGGCTTTAATAGCCGAAACATGTAGCTGAGCCATTCTTGGCCTTGACCTTGATATTGTTGTATTGTGACAGATTTTAATAAAGAAATTGAAGAAACTCCACCTATACCAACATACTGTAATAGCTGCAGATTTGTATTGGCACACCATGCTGGCAGGTGGAACACTGTGTACATGCTGCATACAAGGAGTTGGTAATTAAGCATGACACAACTCCTCTTTGTTCTGAACCTGTACCTGCACTGGAGTGTATTCTGTGGTTATCTCCCTGGGAACTGCAGCGAAAGCGTGCTTGTATATCAAGGCAGCAGAGATCCCTCCAAGTATGGGGCCCAGCCAATACACCTGTTTAACAAGTTTAATTCAGTTAAAAAATTAACAGTTTCATAACATGCATGCTAAAATCCTACAAATTGTGTAATTATAAACATGCCTTTCAGCCTCATTTACCTATTGTAAGATCCTTGGCATTTCACCTGTCTGCATATTAATGCAGCTGCTCACCATATTTGATTGTTTTAACTCAATGTGAAGGGTTGGTTTGACAATTGGGTAGACTGATGAATGGGAGTTTCGTGACCATCATAAGAACTTTATAATAGGAAATAAATGCTTTATAGTATTACAGAACTTACAGAGTGGCATGTTCCTTGTGCAACAAGAATACTGCACATAAATAAAGTTGTGAACTACACATATAAAACTGAAATTGATAAATACTTTCATACTTATTCTTTGTTGGGTTTATGTTCTGCTGGTTACATGTCACATTCCACTCTGCATAATGCCTCTGTTCATGGTTTGCGGTTTTCCTTGGTAGTTCTGTGTTACTATGTTTAGCGTCAGTCAGGAAATTGACTAATTTTGTGGCACCCACATTCACAAGAACGTTATGGATTTCACTCCTTACCAAGCTGATTGCAGTCCACACGCATGTACAATAGGTAAAATTACAGAATAATTTGTAAGTAAATAAAGTAAACAGTAAAAGTAAAGGTATTCATGTTACAGGCTGTGGAGGCTCGTACGGTTGTGAGATGTTGAGTTTCCCACAGTTTCTAGACAGTCTGCTCATAGATGGCAGTAAGGTTGTCAGCCTTACGCTCCGGCTGCCCTTTACCCTCAAGAATATTTCTGGTACTCATTTCTGTTAGAGGCTGGGTCAACCCCAGGGCCATAGTGCGGCTGGAAGGTTTAGGTAAATTGAAAAAAATCCAATGACCTCATCAGGATTTGATCCTGCGACCTCCCAGCTTGTAGCATATTGCCTCAACCAAGTAAGCTACCATGTGCCTGTAGGTACATATTGATTTCTAGATTTTTGTAGACAAGAGGTAAAAGATTCTAAGCTGAATGGTAGCACAAATTCCCTAAATTTAATATGATATTACTTTAATGGTGCATATCATTTTGATTTATTTCTGCCTTTCCCAAATATTTTAACTTTTCCACAGTTTCTGAGGATTTATTAGATGCCTCAGTACCATCACTTTGCCATTCTGGTGATAAAACATGCACATATACATAGTTTATTCTGCTTTTATCTCGTGTTATTGTACTGTTAGTCTTTGCCTAATGAATTAACATCATAAACACCAGCACCTGGTTCAGTCTGAATCCTTTCTCAGTCTGTTGAATTTTACTGAATGACATATCCTAAAGTGAAGTTAAAAGCATTCCCTCATTTCAGAGTCCCTTTCAATCAGAGTTTTCTGGAATATCCGATTGAGTGAGAATGTTGNTCACCGCCGTGAAAGCCTCAAATCTTACATGTTGTGAATTATTTCTCCCTTATCTCTGTCTTGAAGTTTATGAATAGTCAATGCACTATATACATTTCCATTATTTATCTTACGTAGTACTTGATATATGCAGAACATTGTGTTAATAGGGTATCTGTTATGTAAAAGTCCATATTGATGATCTCAAATAATTCTCTGTTCTGATATAAGAATGTTATATAAAACATTTATATGAAATTGATAATATTTTAACATTTTATATTAAACCTGATTAAAATCTTGTATCTGTTCATGGAATTCCATATAAAATCACATTCGATCTGTCAAATGTTACACTGATCCATGAATAAAATGTAAGAACACAGTTCTTTCACTGTCCACTATAATTCTGTCACAAAACTGGCAATAAACTTACCCAGTGATTTTCCCATATTCCTGTTATTATAGCAGAACCAAGGGTACGTGCAGGATTCATACTGGAACCTGTATAATCCAGCTGTAGAGCACAATGAAAATAGACTTAAATGCTTGCATTTTGTACAGTACTTATCTGTGCTTTAGAAATGGGAGCAGGAAAGCTGAGCTATGCTAGTGTGATTGTAATGAGACATCGAGAGAGAAACAAGAAGTACAGAGCATCAGGTGGAAGAGTGCACTAAAAGGTGACAGAGATGAAAAGGATATAAAAAATAAAACAGGATTTAATAAAATTCAGAAGCAGTTAACAAGAAGGATTGCTATTTGTTTTATAGTTTTAGACAAGTCTTACGGAGAGTAACAATGAATACGTATAATTCCATGGCAAGTATTATAGCCTCTTTGCTAGGGTTGGGTGGAAAAAGAAACAATTTTCCAAAGTCTGGATTATTTCCACTAATTTTCCATTCAGCATATCAGAAAATTATGAATGCCAGGAATTTGATTGAAGATGTAATTTTTTGAACATTCAACTGTGGACAGCCCTTCAGAGTATGTTCAGTATCTTCATTTGGAGTCTCTGTCATCCATTTGTTTGGATTAAGTTTGGATAATAACCAGAGTAATTATATAATTTTAAATATAACTAAAACAATGGACAGTGCTCGACATAATTTTATAAAAGATTCAGTGACTGATTTCAGTAGTGTATTTTTTTGAGAATTTAATTAGTTAGATTTCTTGTTATTGTTGGACAAGATATCTACACTTCCCCGCATGACATTCATAGAAGTAAATGAGCTTTTTAATTGTTCGTGAAATGGGTTAATGATACAAAAGAAAATGAAGGAATTATACAGATTACAATAACATATAATAATTCACTGAGATCTTACAAGACCCATATTATGAGTTCCTTTAGGAAATGCAAAGCGAGTAACCAATGAGCCATTATTATTCAGAGTTCAAATCTCACTATGGCAGTGGCACTATAACTTATAGGGGATTCATATTGATATGACACAATCAAAATTTGTACTTACTACAGCAAGGTGTCCCATGGCAATGGTAAGTCCAATGGCAACAGGAGCCAGGCCCTTCACTTCAGAGCGGTTCACATCACACACCCCAAACACTACTAATACAAGCACAAATCCAAGGAAGTACTCAATACCAAAGCCTTGTATAGGTGTCACGCCATCACTTAGTAGAGTAATGCCCAATTTTTTCTGTGATTCTAGTGGAGTTAGAGCCTGTAACAATTCCATGAACATTACTGTCGTATGATCCCATCTCCTTGTCAACCTGTTTCCACTGAAAAAAAAATTAACTGTTGTACCTACAGCATTTGTAAATGAATGCTGACCAATATGCAGTATGATAACTGTCAAGCAGTAATGTTTAATTCAGTATAAAAGTCGACTTCAGGAGCTTTATAAACATATCTAACTTCCTAATCAATTATCAGAAGAATTTATTGGGGTAAACTGATAAAGTACACTGGGAAGAGAATTCTTTATTTTCTTCACCTGTAGAAAGAAACGAAGAAACTATATCCTATATATTAAATATAAATAGTCTTAAAGCTGTATATTATTCATATTATCATTCATTGGTGAAATATGGAATAATATATTGGGGAAATACATCAGACAGTCATAAGGTCTATGTTATACAAAAGAAAATAATAAGAATAAAGATGGGAGCGGGCCCAAATCATACATGTAGAGATCCATTTAAAAAACTTGACGTATATTTGCGTTCATTGATGGCATTTGTTGTTAATAATTTGGATAAGTTTCAAACCAATAACTCTGTATATGTGAGTGGTACCAGAAGGAATGACCACCTTCCTATACCTACAACACATTTATCATCCTATCAGAGAGGGGCGTATTATCAATGAACGCAAATATACGTCCATTGATGGCATTTGTTGTTAATAATTTGGATAAGTTTCAAACCAATAACTCTGTATATGTGAGTGGTACCAGAAGGAATGACCACCTTCCTATACCTACAACACATTTATCATCCTATCAGAGAGGGGCGTATTATCAATGAACGCAAATATACGTCCATTGATGGCATTTGTTGTTAATAATTTGGATAAGTTTCAAACCAATAACTCTGTATATGTGAGTGGTACCAGAAGGAATGACCACCTTCCTATACCTACAACACATTTATCATCCTATCAGAGAGGGGCATATTATTCAGGTGTCAAGCTATTTAACACTCTGCTGTCAAATATCACAATTTTTAAAAAATGATAAAGAGCAATTTAGGTTTGTTTTACAAAATTATTTGCAAAGTAACGCATTTTACTCTATTGATAAATTTGTCGAGCATGCAAGGGACTTAAGAGTTAATAAATGGTCTGTGTGTGTGAATTATATATTGTTGAGACTTGCTTGTTGTAAGTGTAGTAGTATGTATGATGTCTGTTTTTGTTATGAATTTTAATATTTTATAATTGTAACTATTTTAATGATACGGCTTGCCAGTGTGTGTGGAATGGCAAGGTGTGAATTTGACAGTAGTTTTTCCATGACCCATGTGTGCTGTCATGACAACTTGAGCTATCTGTGAGAGGCCTGATTATATTTTTTATTGGACAAAGGATGAATGATGTGTAATCATCATGAATTTGTAATATGTGACATGTTTTATATCCAGCTCTACAGGGAGATGATCGGATCCATGAAGTGAAAATAAATGTAAATGTAAATGTAAATGTACTGGGCGGAATATAAACCATCGCTACAATTCTGCAAGAACTTGCTCTGTGTTCTGGCAGGGATGCTATATTTTATATTTTATTGATATAAGTGGGACAACTTCTCAGTGTCCAAAACACTCAGACTTCTGCTAAGTTTACTGTGCACCTTCAGTGTTGCATGAGCTTCTTAAGGAGCACCAACTTTAGCTAGAATCAAAATTCTCCAGAATGAAGCTCTCTTAATAACCATTAGCTCTGCTCGTGGAGAGTGAAAAATTTGTAATCTATGGGCAACAAAGTTGGGCATTATGGTTGCTGACCATCCAGACAGCAGAGACATTTCAGTACACAACTTGACTTAAGAAATCCAGATATATACTTGTCTCATGGCAGTATCTGCCTTGTACCTGGCATTATATCCTTACATCCCTACATCCAATTTATTACAAGTATTTTTACTGTTTGTCAGAGTTTCTGATTTGTTATTGTTTTAACCTTTAAACGCTGAGCTTTTTAAGTGGTGGTAAGCTTGAGTTGGCCGGAGTTTATTTAAATGACTGCTGCTGAAGCGCGTTTAAATGTCCGTTCCTGTTAGGGCGTTTAAACAATTTTAAGCATTGTGTTTAAAAATGCTGTGTCTAACACAATTTTTATGATAAATGGATGGAATTAACTTTGTTTGTATCAGCAAAGAACATAGTCTCGCATATTACAACGAAAGATTTGAAAAATTTTATACAAAAAGTTATACTCTATTTTCATTTTTTTTTTCTTTTAATTTTGATGTGTACTGCAAACTTGGTGTCCCAGTTATTCAACATTATAAATTCGTTTCTGTTTGTAACACTTGACAAATTTTAGCAGTCCCTGGTGCCATAAAACAGATGGAAGCAATAAAATCATTTGGTTCTCTGTTGGAAAACCTTACACCTTTGTTACACTCTTCAGATTTTCGAATCTTTCGACTAAATGACTGAAGAATGAAAGCATGGATATTCAAGAAATGGCTAGAAGGGTCCCGTCTTCAGTGCTAAGACCTTCCGTTATAGCTGCAAGAGATTATTGCCCTTTCTATGGGCCTGAAAAGACAGCTGCATCGTGGCTGAGATACAGAGAGCGATCTGTTTTCTGTGTGTTCGTAGTGAAATCGAATACTGTAGTTTCATTTCAGCCTATATATACATCAAGAAGATAACAAAAAAGGTATGTACATCGAATTTTACTATATATTTTTAACACATTAATCTGCAGAATCTGCAATAAAAGTACTGGCTCATGGATGAGTTTAGGCATAACTCATACGTATATTCTCTTTGTTGTTATTCACTTAGGTATCATTTTAATTCCTCGATTAGGGTTTTACTCAAGTCGGTCTGGTAATTACTAAATTTAAAAATAAATATTTAGGACTGTGCATGCCCTTCTACTAGCGGCGCGTGCGCGCGATTCCCTTACTCATCACACGCCCGAACGGGTCACTTCGGGCGTTAAAGATTAAAGGCCAAACAGTGAAGCTTACTTCAAGAATAAGATCTGGTCAAGAGCGTCTGAATGGGCTCTAAATTAAGAGAAAGTGACTGGCAAACCGTCAGTCGTAAAATGACTTTGAAACGAAGCAAAAAGTAAAGAGGAATTTTGTAGAAACGAAGCGGTAGGATATGTGGAAGACGAAGGCGAATATATGCCATAACCATGGTGGGTCTTTGGTAAGGCACTGGTGTATGGTTAAGAAGTTGCGTGGTTGGAAGACACTGGCGTAGACTTGGGAAGGTACCGGGTTCTAGACCACGGTGTCTTTTGTCAATAGAAATTGAAAAGTTAATAAATAAATACGATTTCTCTGCAGCTATAAACCAAATTCTACAATATAAGGACGATCGCAGACAACTACAAAATACATGGTCCGGTGGTCTAGCGGTAAGGCACCGGTGTTGTTAATATAAGGTTCGTGGTTCGAAAACAGAAGTATTTTTGTAATGAGATTTTTATTTAATTATATAGCAACATGTAAC